GGAAGAAAGGAGGAGGAGGAGGAGGAGGAGGGGAAGAGGAGGAGGAGGAGGCTCTCATGCGAAAGCAATTGCACTGGGCAGAAAAGGCAGCAGTAAACGGAGCCGTTTCCCGGCTCAGCAAGGAGAAGGGGCTGGGAACCGCCTGGGTGGGGGATGGAGGAGACGCTTGCGGGCAGCAAAGCGCCGCCGGTTCCTGCTCACGGGAGGCCCAGCGCCTCGCAGCGCCACGGCTGCGCGCTCCCGCCTCGGGTGGAGCGGGCAAGAGCTTGGCCAAAGGGGAAGAAATAAATGTGAAGGAGAGGTTTAAAAATCCATCAGAAAGAAGCAAGGTGCTGCCGTGTGCCCGACCGCTGCTCCGGAGGGGAACCACGGCCACCTCGGGGGCTGCCGGGATTAGGGCTCGGCAGCTGGAGGCTGGGGCGGGATCTTTATTCAGGGTTAAGAAGCATTAGGAAGGGATGATAAGAGTTAATCCCAGACAGGCATCTCTCAGGGCTCCGGAAATCACATCCTTCCAAATCCTCACTCCCCTCGGGGTGGGCAGGGGCAGGGCAGGAGCCCAGAGAGCGCTGGGGCAAGCGAAGGCAACCTGGAGATTGCCGGAGGACTGGCCGAGGACCAGCGTGGGCTCCGGCCTCTCCTGCCACCACTGCGGGAGGGCAAAGACAGGGGGCTGCTGCCCCTCTGCCCCATCCCCAGCTCCCTCACCTGGGTGCCAGGGAGTCTCCAGGTACCCCAGGGCCTCCCCCCGTGCCCAGCTTGGCCCCAGCTACTCCGCTCCGGCCGCTCCAGCCCTGCCTGTTCTCCCATTCCACCTTCCTGCTCTGCAGCCTCAGGCCTGTTCTCTCAGCTGCCTCTCCCCCGCGGCCCCCGGCCCCTCTCTGCCCTCCCGCGCTGCGGCAGGAGACGGCTGTGCCCCGGGCGCTGCCGCGGAGCCCCCGAACTTCCCCAGCCCCGACCCCGTCCCTGTCTCCAAGCGGTCGGCGCAGGCTGGGAAGGGAACAGCTCATACCAGCAATGAGATCAGGGCAGTGATAGGCGCCCGCTCCTGTTAATAATTAATAGCTTGTACAGATTCTCTTTTTTTTTTTTAAGTGACACTCCTTCCCTCCACCAGTGCCACCTAGACCGTCCTTCCAAGTTCAGTTCAACAATTAACTGCCCGCTGGCGAGGGGAGCTCAGCAGCCGGGCAGAGCCCTCCGCTGGCAGCAGGGAAGCCCACGACACGCTGCCTGGGCACGGTGACGGCTGCGCGGGCTCCCCATGGCCCCGGTGCAGTGTGTGGCCACTTACCGTTACTGTGGTTGCCCGTCTGGAGCGAGGCGGGTGGCTGCAGGCTGCCCCCCAGGGACCCGTAGCCACGGTAGCTGTAGTTCAGGCTTCCATTGATGTAGACCGGGTCTTGGGAGTAAGATGAAGCTGGCAGTGAGTAGGAGGAGTGGGTGATGGCTGTGGAGTCTCTGGAGTGCTGCTTGTCTAGAGCGATCGGCTCGTCCTGCACGGGGGAAACACAGACTTACTCCAGCGAGGAGCCCGGCCGCGCTCTGCCTGGTGTCCCGCGGCTGCGGCGTGTCCAGCCCGAACCGGCGTCCCCATCCCCGCCGGCCTGCGTCTCAGAACGCACCACGGGGACCCGTCCTGCAGCCCTCTGACTTGTAGGAAGACTTTTTTAAAAACGCTTCGCCAAACTGCTCAGAACCGTCTCTCCTTTGCCCCGCCCGCCGCAAGACGCCCTGGCCCTTGCCCGCCCTCGCCCGCCGTACCTGGGAGGTCTGGTAGATCTCCAGCCGCATCCTCTTGGC